CTAGCTAGGAATCAACTAGAAAGGGCAAAATAGGAGTGCAGCTCGTGGTGAGCTGTGCATGCTGCCAAAGGAAAGGAGCAACAACTCTTGTACTGCATGGAGTGAAAAATGAGAGCATGAAATATGCATGTTGGGTAAAAAGTGATGTGTAAGGTGAATACACGTGTAAAGATTCTATTTGCTAATATGCCCCCGCAGTTCGAGCAAGCTTAAGGGAAGAACATTCAATTTGTTTTGCATGCGAGTGAAGAGCTGGCCAGAAAGTGGTTTGGTGAGGATGTCGGCTGTTTGATCCATTGCTGGGACATGAAGAACAGAGATGGACTTATTAAGCACCTTTTCTCTAATAAAATGAAGATCAACCTCGATATGTTTGGTGCGACCTTGAATCACGGGGTTGCATGACATGAAGACTGCGCTGAGGTTGTCTACCCAAATGGTGGGTAAAGAGGACTGAGGTACATGAAGTTCATGAAGAAGATTTTTGATCCATAAAACATCTGAGACTGCATGACCTAAACTACGGTACTCGGCCTCTGTGCTGCTCCTGGAAACTGTGTGCTGTTTTTTTTAACTCCACGAAATTAAATTTCGACCAACAAAAACACAATGGCCCGAAGTAGATTTTCGATCATCGGGATCACTGGCCTAATCCGAGTCTGAAAAAGCTGAGATATTGAGGTGAGGTGATTTCACAAGGTGCAAGCCAAATTCTGTGGTGGCAGATAAATATCTAAGTAATCTCTTGACAGATTTCCAGTGAGAATCAAGGGGGGACTGCATGAATTGGCTCAATTTGTTAACAGCAAAAGTGATATCAGGCCTGAAGATAGTGAGATATTGTAGACTCCCAATCAACTGTCTATACAGCAAGCCATCTTCAAAAGGTGAGCCATTGAATTTGGATAATGCAGGAGAAGAAATCATTGGAGTAGAAAATCCCTTGGAGCCTTGCATTTTAGCCTTCTGAAGGATTTGGTTAATGTAAGACTGTTAAGTGAGAAGCATTCCTTCTTTGGTATAAGAGATCTCTATCCCCAGAAAATTGTGCAAAGTACCAAGATCTTTAAGAGGAAAAATCTTGGAAAGTGAATCAATCACATTATGGACTTCAAGAGAAGAGCTCCCTGTAATGACCATATCATCTACATAGACAATAAGATAAGTGATGGATGTGGATGACTTCCTAACAAAAAGAGAAGCATCTGCAAGGGAGGATTTGAAGCTAAGCTTTCCAAGAACCATCCTGAGTTTGTCAAACCAAGTTTTGGAGGCTTGTTTGAGGCCATAGATGGCCTTGTTGAGTTTGCAAGCATAGTTTTCTCCAGGATGTTGTTCAAACCCTTGTGGTTCTGTCATGTATATGTCAGTGGATTCATCAAGAGTGCCATGCAAAAAGGCATTGTCAATGTCCAATTGCCTGATGTTCCACCCTTTTGCCAAAGCAATAGAAAGGACTAACCTCACTGTCACTGGTTTCACTACTGGGCTGAAGATTTCATGGAAATCAATGCCAGGAACCTGGGTGTAGCCCTTGGCAACCAAACGAGCCTTATGTCTGGAGATTGTTCCATCAGAGTTATATTTTGTTTTAAATACCCATTTGCATCCAATGGAGGTTCTTCCTGGTGGTAGTGGAACAACATCCCATGTTTTGTTTCTGAGTAGTGCTGCATATTCCTCATCCATAGCCTTCTTCCATGTGGGATGAAGGAGTGCAGAGGTAACATCAGTTGGTGTGTCTGGAATAAGAGAACTGGGGTACACCTTAGGTTTGAAGATACCTCTTTTGGATGTAGTAATCATGTGATGTTGGTTTTGGACTGGTTTTGTAGCAATGGTGCTGGTATTTGTAGGAACCTCATTTGGGGAAGAGGTGGTGGGGGTATTGGTAGGAGTGTTGTGGGGTGAAAGGTTGGGGGTGTGATCATTTTGGTCTGCATTAGGGGAAGAAGGATGTGAGGGGGTGGGTGGATAGTTGGTATGCATATCAGTGATAGTAGTCTGAGTGGGAGTTTTGTTGGGTGCTGTAATGTTTGGACCATCATGGATGATATGTGGAGTTGGTTGCAGACAATGTTGAGATGTATTTAGATTAGATTGCTCAGTTTGCTCAGAAATCATATAAGGAACACAGTTTCATTGAACACTACATCCCTAGAGATTATCATTTTGTTATTCTTCAATAATACTTTGTAGCCCTTGTACTGAGAACTATACCCCAAGAAAACTCCTTGTTGAGACCTTAACTCTAACTTATCATGCACATAAGGTCTAAGGTGAGGATATGCAGCACAACCAAAGACTTTAAGATGATTGTAATCTGGAAGGTGACCAAAGAGTTGTGAAAAAGGGGTTTTGAAAGAGATGGTTTTGTTGGGAATTCTGTTAATGAGATACACAGCTGAGCTAAAACACTCTTCCCAAAATCTTTTTGGCACATTGGACTGAGAAAACAAAGAGAGAGCCACCTCAACAATTTGTCTATGTTTTCTTTCTACTAAGCCATTTTGTTGAGGTGTATATGGGCAAGAAATTCTGTGGTGTATTCCAGCTGCAGTGAACAAGGTGATCAAAGGTTTAAATTTTGTGCCTCCATCACTTTGTACCATTTTTATCTTGTGGTTCAATTGGTTTTCAACAAAATTTTTAAAATGAGTAAAGGCTGTGAGGGTGTCTGATTTTTGCTTCAAGAAGTAAATCCAAGTGTATTTTGAGTAGTCATCAATGAAAGCAACATAGTATTGACTTCCTGAAGTGGATTTTATAGGGGCTGGTCCCCATAAGTCTGTATGAATAAGTTCCAAGGGATGATGAGAGACATGAGAAGATTGAGTGAAAGGGAGTTTGTGAGATTTAGCAATGGTACAATCTGAGCAAAAAGGTTCTTTATTATTGACATAAGGGAGATTACAATCATTCAAAGCCTTCCTAGTAACATCAAAAGAAGGATGACCTAATCTTTTATGCCAAAGCTCAATAGACTTAGAACTCCTAGCAACATAAACCTTCTTAACGGGAACAACATCATCATGCTTTCTCACAATAACAGACTTCCTAGACTTATCACTCAACTCTTGATCTTCTTGACTTCTGGATTTAACTCTACTAAGCTTGAAGGTGTATAAACCATCCTTAAGAATCCCTTTGAGAAGAGGCTGACCTGAAACCTGATCCTTCACAGTACAAAAAGTAGGGAAAAATTCAAAAAACACATGATTGTCTTTTGCAAACTGAGCAACACTAATCAAGTTTTTGGCTATTTCAGGCACATGTAAAAGGTTATTCAACTTGAATGTATGGTGTTTTGTGTGAAAATTAGTTTGGCTGAGGAAAGAACCCTTACCAACATGTGAGATGTCCAAGCCACTACCATTTCCAATCTGAAGTTTGTTTTGACCTGAGTAATCTGAAGCCACACTTAAGTTTGAAAAGTCATTTGTCACATGGTGTGATGCACTTGAGTCTGGATACCAGTCAATCTCAGGGTTGATGTCCTTTGCAGCATATAACACTGAAGATTGAGTAGGGCCTTTGTTTTCATTGAAGCTCCTTTGTTGAGGCACAAAATCAGGATTGTACCTATTGTAGCACTTGTCTGTTGTGTGATTAGTATAACCACAGATTTGACATTGCATTTTGAAGCCTCTACCTCTTCTTCCTCTTCCATTTCTTCCTCTCCCTCTATTTGATTGATTGCTCCATCTTTCTCTTCCACCATATTGGTTGTGTGAGGGCTTGTGTTCTTGATTTGCAACATTAGCTGAGGGTAGAGTGATGGTCTCATTGACTGCAGAGATGGCTTGCAGTCTGCTTTCATAGGTGAGAAGTAAAGACATCACATCCATCATAGTCAGCTGATCAGATCTGGTATTGATGCTCAATACCACTGCATCATACTCAGAGTTTAAGCCACTTAATACATGCATAATCTGATCTTGTTCTGAAATCTTGTGGCCTCCAGCTGCTAGTGTGTCACAACACATCTTGACTTTGTTCACATATTCTCTAACACTCAGGTTTCCTTTCTTCAGATTTTGAAGCTGCATTCTGTAATGCATGGTTCTTGCCCTGGACTGTGTTGAGAAGCTGGATTCAAGGCTTTGCCATATCTGAGATGAGCTGCTGAGACCTACAACTGAGATCAAAATTGATTCTGACAAGGAGGAGAGGAGCCATGATGCTAGAAGCTGATCTTGCCTCTGCCATGAAGTAAATTTTGGATTTACTTGAAGTAAGCCATCTTCATCTCCTGGGATGAATCTGGTTGGAGCTTGTGTAGATCCATCGAGGAAGCCTTCAAGTCCATGGCCTCTGACTGTAGTGAGGACCTGTTGTCTCCAGATTAAGTGGTTTTCATCAGTGAGATTAAAGGAGATGAGTTGGTTGTGAAGTTGAATGGGTTGATTTGTAGAGAGAAGGTTGGTATGCTGAGTTGAAGCTGTAGAATGTGTCGCCATCTCTTCAACAATGGATTAAAGCAAGTTATCCCTGCTCTGATACCATGTTGGAGATGAAACAAATCATGCTTTGAATTCAAGCAAAGATGTTTAGCAATAAAAAGAAAAACAAGAGATAAGGCTGCTGTAATATTAATGAATACTTATTAGGGTTTGTGTACAGAATGCTTTCTTATATAGCTAGCTAGGAATCAACTAGAAAGTGCAAAATAGGAGTGCATCTCGTGGTGAGCTGTGCATGCTGCCAAAGGAAAGGAGCAACCACTCTTGTACTGCATGGAGTGAAAAAATGAGAGCATGAAATATGCATGTTTGGTAAAAAGTGATGTGTAAGGTGAATACACGTGTAAAGGTTCTATTTGCTAATACGCACTGTTGAAATCTTGGGTCAAAATGATAATCTTGATGGAAAGTGCATTGTACATAAATCGTTCCTTATTATTGAACTTACACAAGCCAATATTGAAGCTACAGTTTACTTGTAACAAGGATTCTCATTTTTATAACCAAATTGCTGCTTATTATATGATTTTTTTTGCTTTACTTGCCAACTAAAGGATCTAAAACATTTCTCCATGTGCTATAGTTCTGAGCTGATCCAGGTTCTGCAAATGTAAACCCATTAACAAAGAAATACGGTGTCGCATAGACTCCTCGTATGCAACCTTGCTGCAAAAACAATTGAGTTCAAAGCGTCAATAGAAGTAGATACACTATAAGTCTTGTAGAGTCTTTGTTCTGCTTTATATGCATATATACACTAGAAGTAGATCATAAATTCTTTTGTTAGGGAACCTAATAGTTATAAGGGTCGATTTGTCATAATTTTGAATATATATATATGCGGAAAAAAAAGTTTTTTGGTCCTTTATCTACAGACCGTTTTTAAATTGGTACCGTAAATGGACTGTTTTTGGAAATAGTCCCCTAACTGAAAAAAAATTAGCTTTTTGGTCCTCTGACCGCCTATATCAAGTCATTGTAACCGGCTGAGCTATGTGGAAATTTGCCGAATTTTTTTTTTTTTGCTGAGTTGTAATGCCACGTGGCGCTTATGTGGAAAAATTGCAAAAAATGTGCTGTTGAGGGGATTCGAACCTAGGTCCAATGGGGCACAAAAAGAGCTCATGAATCACTTGAACTAGCACCAATTATGTTAAGT